GCCGGGTTCGAATCTGCCACCCTCTGTGTATGTGGCTGACACTACAACCACTGTGCTACGGACACCCAGCCACCAAGTTCACTTTTAAATGACGAATAGGGTATTGTCTGTTGGAGTCAAGGCTCTTTTTATAATCGTGGCACTGGTAGGTTTTCTTTCTGTTATACTGCCTAAATTTATGTATGTATTAAATTGAAAGTTTAGTGAAAGAGCTAAAATCAATTTTAGGGTCATCAGCATAGTAGTTGATAAGCATTATCTTGGGAAAACTCATATATACAAATATAAAAGCTTACTTTCATAGAGAAGGAAATAGTTATAAAAGCACTTTTTTTTTTTGCAGTTTTTTGGCCAGGCCTGGGTTTGAACTCGCCACCTCCAGCATATGGGGCTGGCACCCTACTCCTTTGAGACACAGGCGCTGCCCTATAAAAGAGAAAAGAAACTTAGTGGTTTCTATGCAAGCAGTCTTAGGAAAAGACCCATTCTTACTTATACTACAACAGTTTTTATTTTTTTTTACAGATATTGCAATGGCAAAATCAGCAAAGTTAATTCAACAGCAGCTTGAGAAAGAACTGTAAGTGTGATTGAGGCCATTGGCTAATTATATGTCTTAACACTTGGACTTTAAGGAGCATATTCATATTTCTTTTGTTTGGTTGTATATGATTATCACAGTAATAGACTGAAGATTAGTGTGAAATTTACTTGTTAAATAATTTACAAAAGAATCCTATTAGGATTATAAAAAGCATTAGTGGGATGTTTATAGCTATTTTAAATGTATGGAAAGAAGATTTATTGAAATTATCTGCTCAATTTACTATTGCACTGTTAATAATTTGTAGTTGAAGTGAAAGGCTTTTAAACCTAAAAGATTTTATGCACCAAGTTGAGAACTGTGTTACGTCAGTGAATGGAAGTGTTTGTTCATCACTCAGTAGTTCCTGTAGAAGTGTTTAAAGGTGCATACAAAAAAATAACAAAATAAGAGTACATAGATAAAAACTGGGAATTAGAGGAAAAAAGAAACTGAGAAACTAAAAACAAAACAAAACTAAAATAATGAAAGGCCATTTTAGAAATTATTGTTAACAGAACAAGAAAGGAAAACTTAGGAGGAATATAAAATTTATGATAGTTCTTAGCTTTTCAAATTGTTGTCAAGCTAGTTGGCAATATGATATATCCTACGATGACAGTTTAAAAATTTGTAAAGTGATCTATACACTTTTGAATTTTAAGGAATTTAGCGTGTCTTCATTTTATGCCAGTTTATAAGAGCTAACCAAAGGCTGGCTTAGGCAGAAGAAATGATCAACATTATAGTAAAGTATGTTTTCTTACTACTTGTATAGGACTTGAAAAGGATCTGATAAGGAAAAACTGTATAAATTCAACTTTTAGAACTTTTTTTCCCCTTGCTATGATTTATTTACTCCTTTTTTCATGTAACAGGCAGCTATAGGGCATCTAGTACACACCAAGCCCTGCACTCAGGATGCAGCTATAGGAGGATATGTGGTGGGGCTCCTGTACTGTGGGCTGAGAGTCCAGTAGGATCCGGTCAGCCTCGGGCTGGCAGACTCCTGCCCTTGTACAAGCCTGCAACCTGACAGTAGGTTTGACATTTTTAAAGGGCAGATAAAAAAGAGAGAGAGAAAGAAAAATATGCGATAGAGACCAAACATGGCCCACAAAGCTCAAGACATTTGATTTCTGGCTCTTTACACAACACTTTTGCCAGCCCTGGCTATGGCCTTGCAGTGGTTCCTGTGGTTTCTGAAGTTGTTTGTTTCTCACCCTCAGCTCTTGCACTCTTGATGCTTACTCCCTACAGAGTGCTTATATCGCTTGCCATTAGGCTAAGGACCGTGGAACAAGTAGATGGTTTGGTTTTTCTAAAAATTCTGTTCTAATTGGTGGGAATTGTTTTGAAGCAGCAAAAGCTATCATAGTGTTATTTTGGGAGTTGTTTTCTAACAGTACGGTCCGACTTCCCATGTTTAAATTTAACATGTTTTCCTTTGGCCGTTTGCTTTTCACTCTGAAGAATTAGAGAAAAACAATACAGAAAGAAGCACTCTATTATAAGGCAGTGAAGCAAAATGCCAAAAAGTTATAAATGTTAAAATTAGTATTCTGACTAATTTTATTTTAATCTCTATTAATTGTGTAAATTAAGCCCTGTTGGCTTTGAAGCATTTCAGCCTTCTGAGGGGCAAAGTTTACTGTGGCCTTGTGGCAAAGCTGAATATATGTAATGTTTTTATTTTTTTCTTAAAATTTTTATTATGAAATAATTACATATAGAATATATATGACACACAGTTTTAGTTTAAAAAATATTAAAATGAATACCTATGTACTCCTGCCATGCTTAGAAGTCCCCTGTGTGCTTCTCTCCCAAAGCTTTTTCCTCAAGAAGTAATATCCAGAATCTTTTATTATTTGTTTTCTAAAATGTTTTTGCTGTATGTGTGTGTTTCTGAGTTTAATCTGTGGATTCTTCACTAATTTTTAAGCAACCTTACAGAATCAAGAAATGCTTTGTTTTGTAAGAAAGCAGATTGGCACCATGTATTCCTCTACTTCTAAGTAGCAGGAAGGGTGGGCGGTCAGCAGAGTGTTGCTATTCACCCCATATTAGGGCCAGCAGGTGGCAGTAAGGTGAAATTGAGAAGGTTTTAGTGGTTAAAGAAGTTGGAGAAAAGTATGTAGCTATGCCCATGTTTGATATGAGAATCTGGAGTTTGTGGATTTGTAAACTGCATATCCACATACACTCAAGTTAAAAATAAATAACTACCCACACTTAACTTTCAGTAACTTAAATTTTTATAACACTTATATTTTTTGTTTTCTTGAGACAGAGTCTGACTCATTCACCCTAGGTAGATTGCTATGGTGTCATCATAGCTCACAGCAACCTCAAACTCTTGGTCTTGAGTAATCCTTTTGCCTCAGCCTCCCACGTAGCTAGGACTACAGGTGTGTACCACAACGCCTGGTTATTTTTAGAGAAAGGATCTTGCTTTTGCTCAGTCTGGTCCCAAACTCCTGAAGTCAAGTAGTCCACCCACCTTGGCCTCTCAGAGTGCTATGATTACAGGTACCTGGCCATACCATGTACTATACCATATATTTTTAAAATTAATTTTTTTAATGGTATCATTCAGGTGATCCTCTTAAAAGGGGGCCCTGTGCTGAAAGAACATGGGTATGACCAAGTCCACAGCTGACCTGCTGTCATCCAGCTGTGCAAGACTGAATACATGTAATGTTTTCATTTTTTTCCTTAAAAATTTTTTATTCGGAAATCTTACATATAGAATATATATGACACACATTTAGTTTAAGGAATATTAAAATGAATACCTGTATACCACTACTATGCCAGCAGGGCTTAATGTACACAATTACTAGAGATTAAAATAAAATTAGAACCCTAATTTTAGTATTTGTAACTTTTCAACATTTTGCTTCGCTGTCTTATGAGTGTTTCCTTCTGTTCCCCTGTGTCACGTGACTGTCCAACGAAGTGATCTATAAATGCAAAGGATTATTCAACAATCTTAAATGCATAAATGACAGTGTTATTATTATTAAATGAGTGCTGAAGTGTTTAGGAACTGATATGATTTAATTACTATATAAAAATCCTATTTTCTGACCTGTTTTCCTTTTGTCCCACAGCAATACCTTACGAGTTACCCGTTCTGCTGCCCCCAGCACACTGGACAGTTCCACCGCTGTCCCTATTCAGCTGGGAAAGAAAGGCAAAGAGTTCGAATTCTCACAGTTGCCACTCAAAGTGGAATTCCTGGAATGTAGTGCCAAGGGTGGGAGAGGGGACCCTGGCTCTGCTGATATCCAGGACTTGGAGAAATGGCTGGCTAAAATCGCCTGAGGGCCAGCTCCAAAGCACAAGGCACGGACTCGGTTTGGGGAAAAGGGCTATGGTAGTCTCGAGCTGATAAAGAAGAGGTACAAAACGCGCTTAGAAACATTTCCTTGTTCTGGAAACAAATTACTGTTGAAACCAGCTGGGAGTTTGTTTTTTTTTTTTTTAATTCATTTCTCCATTTGAAACAAGTCATTTTTATTTTATCTTTGTGTCTCCCCTTTATTCAGGTGTTTAACCTTCCTCTAGTCTTTGTTTGAGGGAGACTCAAGGTTTTTGTGATGTAACAAGCAGACTCCATACAGGGAGGATATTAGCATGAGAATATGCTCATCTTCTAGAAGTTTTCTTATCCTCTGTTTCTTTTCTTTGCACCTTTTTCCTAGAAATAGACTTGCCTGTTTATGAAGCCAGTTGATTTCCAGTTGCCCCTGGGGTTCATGAGCAGTACGGCATTTAGGCCTTTGTGAATTCTTAGATTTCTAGGCAGAGTTACAATATAGTTTCACCACATGTGAAGACAGCTGCAGAACAGCAGGCCTGAGTGGACAGTGCTTTGTTCTTCATCACCTTCGTGACTTGTCCATTCTCCAGTGTTAGCACTTATGTTTCAGAAGCTTGTCATGCGCCATTGGAGTTATTCCTAGGTAATAGAACTAGAGATGCCAACTCCCCAAATGCCACAGGTCTGGTGTATTCACAGCAAACTCAAAACTCTGGGGCTCAAGTGATTCTCTTACTTCAGCCTCGCAAGTATCTGGAGCTATAGGCACCTGCCACAAAGACTGGCTATTCTTAGAGATGAGGTCTCACTCTGGCTCAGGCTGCAGGCTGGTCTCAAACTTGTGAGCTCAGGCAATCCACTAGCCTTGGACTCTTTTTCTTTTTTTTGAAGTTTGAGTTCAGCACAGAATTGTCAAAGCTTCAGTTGATTTATGTTCGGCCCTACCTAAAGCCATTAGCAGGAATTTAGATGTCTTCCTCTGGCTGGGTGTTGGGTGCAGTGGCTCACACATGTAATCTCAGTGCTTTGGGAGGCCCAGCAGGACGACTCCTTGGGGACCAGAGTTTGAGACTAGCCTGGGCAACATAGTGAGACCCCATCCCCACCCAAAACAGCTGGATATGGTGGTGCATGCCTGTAGCTCCAGCTACATGGGAGGCTGAGGCAGGAGGATCATTTGAGCCCAAGAGTTGGAGGTTGCAGAGAGGTATGACCACCGCACTCAGACTCACCCCTTCACATGTTTAAAGAAAGGTGATTACTATACCTGGCTTCATTTGCACAGGAAAACAACCCCACTTCCTTTCAACCATAAAGCTGGAAAGTCTTGATTGCTCTTAAGAGTGCTCCTTCACTGAATAAAGGTGAAATGCTGCAGTGGGCCCTGGAAATGCTAGAGTACAGTTCTTGCTTTTACAGGCTTATGGCCCCATTTTTAAGAATGGCTCCTTTTCAGTGTGGCTTTGCTGCCCTCTTTTGTCTCCTTAGTGTGAGCACCTCAAGGCTGCACTTGACTGTGTGCTGCATGGGCTAGTGGTCAGCTGCCAGCCATGCAGCCTGCGGCTTTGCCTTCTCCCGGCCTGCCAGGTGCCATTGTTCTCCTGTGACCCTGACATGTGAGGCACTTGCCATGTTGACTTGAATATTGTTTCAAGTAATGAAATCATTTTGTTTCAAAAAGATGGAATGTGCTTTTTTTAAATTTGGGTTTAGCATACAGTGGCCTCCACTTTTGTACACTGCTGAGGAAACCCTGGGCAGCATCCCTGGGTGCCACTGCGTGTGGTTTAGGCAGGATGTTCACGACGCTGTCATCTTCACCTTCATGTCTGAGGGGTCCCAGCAGGGCTTCCTCAGGCAAGGGCAGGGGCTGCTGGGCAGCTGTGAGCGTGAATGCCATTCCCAGAGATCACACGGTCCCTTTGCAGGGTGAAGTCTTGTTGCCCTGAGTACTGTCATGTTTGGGAATGACTGCTTTTCTTGGAACAGCTCTGCTGAGGCCTCCCTCGGCCCGCACGCTCTCCACTGCAACTGCTCTACCTCGTGTTTTAGCTAAGAAGCATCAATTTCCTGTCTCTTCAATCAGAGATTGCTTCCCTGAGCTGACAGATTGGAGGGTGTTCTGGATCCTTTGGAACCTTTAAAGTGGGAAGGCAATTAGTGAAGTTAGACTGTAATTTTGAGTGAGATTGCCAATAATCTCAGACTAGGGAATTCTGCACCTAATCTTGGCCTCTGCATCCTCTTTGGCTTGGCTTGGTGGCAGAGCTATCTTGGCTTTCAGGGGCATTTTTTAGTCTAGAGATGACTGACACCAGAAGAGCCTCTCTGGGATCTTCCTACCTGGCATGGGGCAAGGGTGGAGGTGGTTCATGGCAGATTGATGTTATCAAAAGTTGATTATGTTTTACCTTACATTCTTGCCTTGAAGTGGCTTCCTGGGCATCACCAGCAGGACAAGCGAGCCAGTTCCTGCAGCTGCCCTCATAGCACCTCAGCTATGGCCAGCAGAACGTGAGGATGATGGCGAGTATCACACCCTTGATGTTCAGTGCTGCCTGGAGGCACCCTTTCCATCAGCCTTTAGGCAGGATAGAGATTATGGGAATGTGTGTGGATTTAATCTGTGTCCTACCTTCCCACCATTGGAGTTGGTGAAGAGCCCGGGTGCATAGGAGGAAGCAGCAAAGGGCTTTGGATAGTGAGGGTACCACCCAGACACAAGAAGAGGGTCTTCATGGAACAGGCACTTGAGGGATTCTGCTTGGAACACCCCACCTTGATACACATACATGACTGCACACTTGCAAACATTAGACAAGAAGCTTTGTGTTGAGAATTAGGACAGTTTATTGTTTGACCAACATGCTGAGTCTTTTCCACATTTTACACAGTTTAATGTGAAGTCAATATGGCCGCTATGCCTTCTGAGCCCATAACAGATAGAACTGCCACCCAGTGCTCCTCATAGCCAATCGTTTTAAAGGGTTGGTGAGGGGAACATGAGGGGAGAAGGGGACGCACACCGTGAGATGCAGACTGGCCTTTGATGCTTTGGAGGTTTCCTCCTTCCTGAAGGAACCATCTGGACATTCTCCCCCCCCCTCCGCCCCCCGCAAGGCTTTCTTGATAAACCGTACCCAGACATGGGTCTGGAGTCCAAGGAGTTTTGTACATTGAGATCTCAAGGCTTTGGAATACCTAAATAGTTAATTAAAATAAAAAATGCAAAGAATGCCCTGATAATCAGTCGACCTGGGAACAGCCCTTTGCAGTAGAGGGGCCCCAAATGCACCTATATTCTCTCCGAGCTCAGTATACTGGGAAGAATATTCTGTCCTAACCACAGGGTAGAACTGGTCTGAGGAATACACTTCTGCACAGAAGTCCTTGACTGCAGGAGTGCAGTCCCAGTTGCACACACAGGGGTCAGCAATGGAAGAAGAATGGAAACACTGGCTGAGATCACTCTGACTCTGGGTGATCATAAGCAACTAACCCTTCTCCATTTTGGTTTTCCTGCTTGTGACACAGGAGGGGTTATGAGACCTGTACCTCACTGCTGTAGCGAGGTGGCAGCATCTCATATTTGGGGAGAGGTAGTTTGGAAGCTAGGGAGCATGTGACCCTGCTCTGTTGATGCACACAGACATACCTTTCACTGCCCCTCACGTGGCTCATGCATGTCCCTCAGTCCTCGGCTACCTGGTCTCGTGTCCTCACACCCTCACCTGCCCTCCGTCTTGTGAAGCAGTTAGGCTGCTTGTTCTATCTGCAGGATGCCAGAGCTAGCAATGCCATCCCTTTATTGTCACACCAGGTACTCGAGAGCAGAGGCTCCAGGTACTGGACAGTCACCAGGATGGAGACATTAACCCCAGATGTCTCTGCACCCTTAGCTACCACCATTTTAATCCTGTTGCTGTTTTCTGAGACAGACTGATCTGGCCGATGCTTTCCCCCCAATCTAGGAACATTAGAAAATGTTTAGGAGTGGTGACAGTTAGTGGCAATAGTGACAGCAGGGAGGCCTCTGACCAAAGGAAACTTGCCCACAGCCACCAGGCAGACCAGCCTGGGACTACACAGCCGCAGCTGCACTACTCCAGATGCTGGCATCACACTTCAGGGGGGCTTCTGTGTGCAGCTGTAAATGCACTGTCAGCTTTTTCCATCCTACACTCCATTTTTCTGATGCATGTGGAACAGGAGATTTACTGACAACTTTCCTTTGAGATCCCTAAAGAAAAAAGACCAAAAGAAGAGGATCCTGCTTATTTGCCACATCAGGTCTAGTCTCTGGGGAGAAGGACTGAAAACTAAATCGAGAACATTTTCTAAAAGGAATCCTCCATTTGCCCTCTGCTATCAATCTAGACTCAGCAAAGATGCAGTACTCAATCGGGCTGCTGAGGCAATGGCATCTTCAAAAGCACCTGACCATTTTATAATGGAACCTTAAGTCTGAATCCAGATCCCACCTACAAGCAAGAGGACAGTGACGGCACCTGCACCAGATAGGAGTCAAGGAACCAACACACTTTCCGTCAAAGGGGTGCAGCCACCGTCCCAGACCCTGGAATCTCATGGCACCACTGAGATTGGGGGACAAGAGGAGGCAGCTACCCTCAGCTTTGGAGGCCACAAGGCTACGGAGAACTTGGGCTCAAGAGAAGATGCTGTGTGCAGGCTAGGAAAGGCAGGATTCCCTAAGGCCACGTCAAGCCACATGACATCTGCTGGGTCTCTCACATGTCCTGGCTCTGTGCCAGGACAGAAAAACAACCCGTGGTGCCTTGAATGTGTGTGCATATGGGAAGGGAACTGAGCTTCTACTTTGTTTCACACGACATTTTAAGAAAAGCGACTTTTCAGGGCCAACAAAATAAAAATCCACCATACATTCATTCACTGTGACCCAGTGCAGATCCCTGTAAATGGGGCAGTCTCAGAGGCCACAAGTGATGGTCCTCACTGCCAGTGGGGCAGGATGCCGTAATGTGGACTCCCACAGATTCCCGCGAGGTAAGTAAGCACTCTACCAACAAGCACCACTTGGGAGTGTGCCCCTGGTGGGGGGATGCTGCCCCCACCGGCCCGCACACCCGTGCATATATGTACATAGAGATGGTGGAGA